CGTTTTTTTATTGCTTTTGAGGGGAAAGAGGGAATGTTTATTGCAAGCATAATACTTTTGTATACAATGTATTTCATGCAGCCTGTAAAACTATTCCACACAACTTTTTTTCTATTTTACCGGAAAAAAACAGGAAAAACTTTTTTTCTCATGGCTTTAAAATTTCCAGAAATTTTACATCTCTACCCACAACAGAATAGCATTGTTAGTGCAGCCATAGTTTGCTGACTAAACTAACACTTCATGTTATACCATAAACCTTGGGTTTACAAAACATTGGGAAAATGTGGACTTCTTTTATAAGGAACCAAACCAAATGCAGATCTGCAACAAGTCTCTTTATTGAGTATGTGAAGATTGCATTGATCACAGGGCTCCCAGCCAAGAGTGCACAAGCCCTAAACAGTATACATTAGGTAGGTATGGGAGGATACTTAAGATACCATGAGTAATTACTATCAAAGGGCATCTTCTCAGAAGGCAGGGCAGCAAAGCTTTGATGGTGCACCATGAAGTCATCCCAAATTGCCTCAAATTTATGTAAATGTAAATCAGGTTACATTTACAACAACATTATCTTAATAGTATTTTCTCAAAGCTTGGCATAACTACTCTTAAGGCCTTTTCTGGCCTTCATGAGCAGGCAAAAGAACCATTTCTACCAGGATTCCCACCAATGTAAAGGTTCTACCAACACTGTGCTTTTCAGAGCTGCAACTCCCCTGAAGCTTCAAGCAACACATCTAATATGCATGTCCATACTTTTGGAAAGCACCCTCTAAAATACTTGTCAAAGGTTTGGCTTTTGAAAGTGAAGATATGGATATCAATTGATTTTCCTAGTCAACATTTCTCCTTTTGAAACTTACAAGCGAAAATATTGTTTATCATCACTAACGGTCACAATTATGTTTATCTCATTACCAATTAACTTCTTCACATTACAGAAGAGCCATTTTAAAAATTCATTTAGTTCTACTTGGAAACTGCTTCTGGACTTTGTATTTGAGGTGGAATGAACTGATTTTGGGCTTTACCAATTATATTTGTTGTTATAGAAATGGCTAGTTTATACAGTTATAAGTAAAAATTTGAGATTTGATGTTATCTTATTCTACTGCACCAAAGCCTTTTCTTTTTCCCTTCCCTATTTTTCCTATTTGTTTTTGTATATTATAAATTATGCACACACACATAACAATGTCAATTGTCATAACAGTGTCAATTAATGGGATGAAAATTTTTGCAATTTTTTTCAGTGAGGGATTCTAAAAATATGTGTTTTAACACCAAAAATTCAAATCTGCTGTTATTTGTGCATTTGCACAACCATTTAGCTTGGTATGGTAAATCTATATCTGATCATATACTCCACAAAAGTCTTTTGTAACCCAAATACTGTGAATTTTATCTTCTCAAAATCACACCGTGCGCTTTAAAAATTAAAGTTTCTGCATGAATCTTATCTAGCTAAGTACAAAATAATCAATGTAACTATAAACATCAGAAAGCAATTATCTGAGTTACAAAAATGTTTTAAGTGAGTTTCAAGTCATTCTGATTCATTCTTTGACATCAGTCACCAACTTGCTTCTTTCCCGTTTCTCATGTTTATATGCTCTACTTGCTGCCTCTGTGATCTGTTTCACACATCTATTGATTGGGCATGACAGGGTAACTGTGGTACTTGCATTGGTTCATCAAAGAACTTTATTTTTGCTATAGTCCATTTGCATATCAAAGGTGGCTCATATACACCTTCAGAGCAGTCAATCAGCTCAGCAGAGTGGATGCTTTGGTGTTGATTAAAGGCATTTTTCTTGCACGTACAGAAAATCTCCCAGCTCATAATCATCTACACCAGGGGTCCCCAACCACCGGGCCGCGGACCGGTACCGGGCCGCGGAACAACTCCTACCGGGCCGCTGGCTTGCTGGGCGCCGCCATCTTTTTTTCATGAAAAAGTGCTTCCGGTGAGCTTTTCCGGGTAGAAAGCTCACCGGAAGCACGTTTTCATCAAAAAAAGATGGCGCCGCCCAGCTGATGCCGGTACCGGGCCGCGGCGCCCAGCTGATGCCGGTACCGGGCCACGGCGTCAAAAAGGTTGGGGATCACTGATCTACACCCCTCAAGTCAATGATCTTTTGCATATCAGTTCTCCTCTCTTGAATGCCATCTGAACACAAGAATATCTGGATTATCATTTCATTGAAAGCATACCATGCTGAGTGCTGAATGATTGGCAAAACAGCATCAACTACAGCCTTCTTTTGCAGTCTGACTTGCTGCAGCTGGAACACGTGGTGCAGGCCTTCAATCCAGTAATGTTTTACTTTGATGTTGAACCAGAAAGGTTCAATGTAGTCCACTATCATTCTTAAGTTTTGGGGAGTTTTGCCTTTAAAGCCATATTTGACAAAGCCTCTTTGCAGTTGTCAACCAGTGTGGATGGCTTACAGCAGTGGCCCCCAACCTTTTTTGTGCCGCGGCCCGGTACTGGCATCACAAAATCATCCACGGCCCGATACCGGCATCAGCACGCATGGCAGGGTGAGCCGAGCGACCGGCCAGCCAGCCGTCCCCCGCTTCTCCCCGCCACCTTCAACTCCTCCTTTGTACCTGTGTCGATGGGCTTCGCGACAGCTTCGGGACGGTCGCTCGGCTCGCCTTGCCATGCGTGCTGAAAGAATCCTCGTGCCTTAGTTTTGTTCGAAGCCGCCCCCCCCCCCAATGAAACTAAGGCGCGAGGATTCTTTCAGCACCTAAACGCCACTTTCTACCCGGAAAAGCTCACCGGAAAGTTTTTCATCAAAACAAGATGGCGGCGCCCAGCAAGCCGGTGGCCCGGTAGAAATTGTTCCACGGACCGGTACCGGTCCGTGGACCGGTGGTCGGGGACCCCTGGCTTATAGGGCCAATTTTCAGAAGAGCTAGATTTGTGGGAAGTTATGTCCTTATTACCTGTGTGGTCCTATGTCCATACGCTTGATCGAGTGTTCCTTTAGAAACTGTCGTTCAGTGAAATGAGAGGCTCACCAACTGAAATTCTAGTGAATGAAGGATCGATGTCAAGTTCTGTTGCAGTGTCTAGCATATTTCCAATTTTACCTGCCCATTTGTTGTTAGACAAGATCTTCCCAACCAATTTGTGATTATGTGTCATAGGGGTAACTCATTCATGTGGAATGCACACACCAACCAGTTCAACTTACAGTCAATCTCAACCTCTACCCAGTGCATGGCATCACCTTCACAACCAGTATTAACATTTGTAGAATTTCCTCCAATGGCCTTCAAGCTTTTGTCAATGCCTTTCTTCTTCATGACATACACCAGATTATCTGCAATCACTTGATTGCAATCACTTGAGCAGGTTTTCCTGTTTTACAGCCTTTATCTGGAGTGAAATGATAAAGATGTCTTCCACTTTAGTTGCATCTATATGACCATCAAAGAAGATACATTCTATTTTGCCCTTCTTACAGAGCTCATCAAATTCTTGATCTAGGGACTTCATATTCCTGGACTCCCTTGACTTTGTTGTGGTCAATACAAGTCTCTTGTCTTCTTCAGTTATCAAGCCAGCATCTATGAAGGCTTGTGGTAATGGCAGCACCAATACTATATCTTATGCTCTGCATAGTGACATTTGTTGTTTCTAATATATTGTATTCTGTCTTTTCTTTGAAGTAGAGGGCACATGTGTTTGTCTAAGGCCTCTTCATAACTTCCATCACATCTTCATCATGTCGTCTATTCTTCAGTTTTCAGCATAACAGATAATTACTTCATTTGTCAGTATCAAAATGTCTGGAATACTTCTCTGCTTATATTTAATGAGCCTTTCTCTCTCATTGTCTTGCCGCTTTTGCCTTTAGACAAAGGTATTTCTGCTTGGCCCATCTGGCAAACCAATCTGACGTGATCCAAAAGAACCAATCTTGTCCCCATAACCTTTAACAAAAGCAAGTTCCTTCAATAGTATCTTTGTATCCTTAGGGCAAGTACAGTTAATGTGGGTTTCTTTTCTGCAGCCAGCAGGGCATCCGAATTCAGCACATAGAACAATTTGACCCTTGCAGATGTGGATGTTAAACAGTTTGCCAAGTTTCACAGTGAAAGTCTCTTTGACATCTAGATTTCCTCTGCCAAGATATGTTTTTGGCTTGATCCAAGCTCTCTTGGATCTTGTTCAAGATTGCCACACATGAATTTACAACAGAGGTCACAAAAGAACTGTTTGCTGGTTCCCACTTTCAAGCACTTTTGGATATGTCTCTTGCAAGGCTGGCTGCTGGGTAATTTTTAGCATCATCACTACCTTGTTCTTTTAACAGTAGGCCATATCTGACAATGTCTCACAGTGTTGGGAGTTCAGACAGCAACAAGTTTCTGCCAGTCCCAATTAGGTTCCTCATATAAGTGAATATTCCCAGTCTTGTTCCTTTTTTTAGAAGCCATCACAGATCAGTTATCACACTCACAGGAAACAAAGCAGGAAGTATTAGCACTCAACATTTAACAAAAAGAGAAAGACAGCTGAACTTGTGAAATGAAACAAACAAAATGTTAAAAAGTTATGATATTTATGTAGTTACTTACCAAGCATATCTAAATTATATTAAAGTAACAAACATATCTTTACAATCCCCAAGGCATGTCACAACTTTTGAGCACCCCTAACGGTATTTCAGTCTAGAAGCCTAGTTTTAACTATTCCGTAATTTTTATACACTATTTGCTCAGACAAGAACTTTAGAAAGTCGTGAGATAGAAAGATGTATATCCATTCATTATTAATAGATATCTGCTAATCAGTGTGATTCTGGTGATATACAAAGACAGGCATCTTTAATTAGAGAATATGCAAATCTTGGAGTAATTATACGAAAGTTTATAGATCTTGATCTAAAGCAGATGTAGAAAGCTGACCGAAAATGGGAAACTGCTCATAATTCCATTTCTTGTAAGAGAAAAATCTCTCATGACTGTATTTTTAAAGACAGTATCTATATGATAACCCAAATAAAGATCACTATTGGTATATAAAAACTAGGGACAAAATAAAGACTTATCTAAAAATATAAGCAAGGATTTTGTTGCCATCAGATCCATATCTAAGGAATAATTAATGCCAAATAATACATTAATCCATGTCATTTACACAGAGCTACGGTTTCCTCACTAGTAAAAAAAACAATGATATAACTTTGTATGATCTTGAAATTGACTCATGTCTCTACATGGTAGCTATTTATGTATACACACAAACTTATTTCTCCTAAAAATTATCAAACCTTTTAAAGTATTCCTTCAAATTGAAGTGGCTTTCACATAAAAGTCTTCCAAATGTTATTCTGTAATTTGCCAGTTTTATCCTCCAGAAATGGTACTACGCTTGAAAATTTCACCAAATTCCATTGAAGAAGGAATAATTTTTTAATCTCCAGTGAACTCTGGGACAAAATAAGCCTCATATTTCAAAAATAAAAATGTAACATGAACAGCTGGCCTTCACCTGTTTGAAACTGTACTGTTAAATGTTCTGTGCATGTAATAATCAAAAAAGTATTTTTGCAAAGGTATACAAATCAAGCTAGTTACATTATAGGGTTTATCTGAAAGATTATATTAAAAATCAGCTCGTAAGAATTCTGAAAGAAAACAGTCCTATATGTATTTCACTTATTCACATTTAAAAATACTAATTAAAAAGCTTTGTTGCTTAATTTACTAACAGAAAGAATACCATGCTCACTGCAAATTTTCTCAGTCCAGAGTTTAAAAGTTTTCATAACATTGCATCACTTGAAAATAAGGTCATTAGTATTTACATGTTTTTCAGCCCTATAGTAGTTACAGTTCACAAACAGTATTTTTACAGTAAGTAAAACTGCTAACAAATATTTTATAATTTATGTCAATCAATATAAATAGCAAAATATGCATTCAAAAATTTGCAATCATAATTTGTCATTCATTTCAAGTAGAAGAAATGTTCAAAGTTAAAGAACATAGTGCAGTATTCTCCAAAGATGGGTATCAAATCCCGGCTTCAAATCCTGGTGTTTGTTTACTACATGCAACTAATTACTATGCTGCATTTATACCTAAGCAATTTAAATTATTCAAATCAACATCCATAATAGTCAACTAATACAGTGGAATTTTCCATTCTTTTTATATCCGTACCTTGCACTATGTTAAATTTTCTCCAGAATTTAGGGGAGGCATAGAGAGGGAATAAAGAGGAAAAAGGAATCTGTTCTGCCATCTATGTTCATCTTGCACTTGTTGGCAGAATGACACCGTTGGATGCAATCTTTGTTTTTCAGATTTACCTCACTTCAACGTTCAGATTTACCTACTACAAAGATATGCCTTCAGAAACCTTATTTAACATGGTAAAAGCAAACAAGTAAACCATTTTTGGTACTTTCTAGCCAGAAAAAAATTGTCTTCATTCTGAATGGTGCCTTCTTCTGTTACATAGAATTTTTCTTGCTAAGAAAAACTAGATCAGAATCATCAGACATCCTATTTCTAAATTGTGTAAGATCAATGAATAGGAAATTTGCGAAAAAGAAATCATATTCTTTTAAAATATGTCTTCATGTAAATGTTCCAGAGAAGAAATATTAGCATGATCTTTTAAGAAATCATTTGGCTAGAATTATATGAATACACTCTATGTAGTATTAAGAAGTTTGAATTAAGAGAGAAACAAGGTCAATTATCCAAATAGGAAATCTGGTACATTCTTTAATATGCTGAATATTGATCAACTGGAAAAGTTGTAGCTAGGACTATTAACTGCTCCAGGCAGATAATGAATGAAAAATAAATCAACTAATAAACAATAAGCTATATGTACAAAAATAATGAAGTCCAACTTTCACCAAAATAAACATTTACTTTGCATACCCTCATATAAGGCAAAACCTTCAAAGTAAAAGAGAGCACACACATCACTGCTTATGGCAATCATTCATATTATATTTTGAGAGGCAATGAAAAGTCCTAATTCTGCAAATTTGGGTCATGCTACTTTTAAAAAATATATTCATTGGTAATTTTTAAGGAAGGCATAGCCTCATTCACATTTTGATCTAAACGTTGATATCCAACTGTTCTGGAACACAAGCCATCTCGCCATCTTCTATTCTGAACCAACAAAATTATCTGAAAAGAAATAATTAGATCATGTTAAACATCTGCATGTTTAAAAAGATTTATAACAATATTTTCAGATTATTCTTTGCAAATTTTATATGTTTCATGAAATCTTCATATTCACATTAAATTTTTTAGGTTTGTAATAACAAGGTTATTTGTATTAATATGCAAACTGCTTACCTTATCCTTGACAGATAAGTTTTGTAGCATAATTACTGGTACATAAAATATATTTTGATTGATTTTGTCTGTTTATGACTGAGCCAAAAAGTATTTATTATCAAACATTTTTCTTATAAATTGATGCCAGCTTTATACTAGGACAAACCTGACATGCTGCAATTAAAGAAACAGCTGAAATGAATGATAAACCCTGATACATATCTTTATGCCATTCAACAAGACCCCAGTTACACTGTATAACAATGGATAAACTGCAATAGAAAACCCAATGTCCTATTATTGAAACTGAGTGAAGAGTTGGGAGAACAGATTTTTACTTCCATGGATGTTGTATTTTTTTAATTTGCCCTAGTCTAGGTTGGATCTGTGAATCTAAAACTCAATTAAAATACATTACCAATAGCAAATCCTTAAGCTATAAAAATCCATGTTTCTGATTAAAATAAAAAAAGCTTCAATGGAAAACTGTACTATCTTTAAAAACTTGTAACAAAGAAGCTTTCTATATCAGTGCAGATATTGTAGAAAATATAACCACTGACAGAGGAAGACAAATCTCTGATTTTTGCTTTATGGACAAAGTCCACTCTGCCACCTTGAATAAGTAATTTTGTCATCAATTCATCATGTCAGATTATAAATCCACAATAAATAAAAGGAAGCCATGAATACCAATGATACTTAAGTAAATTTACATGTCTCAGAAAAAGAGATTTAAAATTTATATTTCACACTTTAAGGTATCTGTTAATCTGCAAATTAATTCATAACATGCTTGAACATTTACGAGGAACTTTCTGCCTAATATTTATTTTTCCTGACTTGCTTAGATTTGTATTGTTATTATTTTTGCAAAATTATTAGAAATGCTGTGTAAAAAGATTAATTTCAAACAGATTAACAACCACTTGTAAATTCCAGGTGTTGAATTATTTCACTATTCTGCTTTAGAAACCTATTTAATCTGAAAATTTCTGAAGTTTGCAATTTTGCATTTTACAATTTATACTGTTCAACTTTTCTTAGCCCTAATTTTCCAGAATAAAGGAAATAAAAAAAATTGACTTCCGGTTTGAGCTTCTTCGGTGACAGACCGAAACCTCGTCTCTGCGAGGCTTCGATCCGTACTCGCCGCTGGAATGCCCCGAGCTGGTTGGTTTCGGGGCTAAGCCATCCCGTAGAGGTGGTGAAGAAGGGGGAGACTGCCTGCAGGGTTGAGGAGAGCCGCATCTCTCCTCCCCAGCTGGCCATTACTCCCTTTCCCGAAGGCGGTTGTAGCGGTGGTCAGAAATGGCCACCACAAAGAAGCACTCGACCGGAAAAGAATGTGCAGGAGGAAGATAAGAAGAGAAAGTTTTGGTTGACCAGGTCAAACAGCAAAAGCAACAAATAAGGTACCCTGGAATTGAAACTATTAAAAAAAAAATAACATTGTTCCCTAAGAAAATTTTTAAGCTGCGAAGGAGAGAAAAGGGAAAAGATTTGGTTTTTTTTTTTCTCCTTTTCCTATACTGACAGCTAAGAGACTTAAGCAAGAAATTGGGGGAAAAAATCCACTTTGACATTAATAGGCATTTAATGCTGAAAATAAAAAGTCAAAGGGATAATAAAGATTTCTGGATAATCAAAAGCTTTTGAAAACAGGAAAGGAGAGAAAAAGAATAAAAGGGCAGGATCTGGAAGGGAGGAGACTGCCTGGAATTAAAAAGAACTTATAGCAAAATCTCACCAAGACTTCCAAAAGATACATTTTAACTGAAATATCGCAACAAAAACCCCAGGAAGTGAACGTGGAAAAAGAAATAAGAAGAAATAACTTGGGACTATTTGGATTACTTGATGATTTCTGGATTTTTGGTTATTGTATTTGAATGACTAAAATCAATTGGGTGGTTGTTTAAAACTGTTTAAAATGGCTCCACTTTTAGAAGAACTGAAAATGGAAGTTAAAAAGTACAAAGACGATGCATAAGAAGGGAGAGGTTCTTTTGGCTTCATATTAGAAATGGAGATTTGGAATTATGAGAAAAAACAAGAAATGCCTGCAGAACAAGAAGACTGTGACAAAGAAGAAGCCATCTTTAATGAACAAGTAATCTTAGGTGGGGGGGGGGAAGGAAAGTGGGGAAAGAGAATGGAAAGATTAAGATTGGGAAAAACAACTCCCCCCAAAAAATAGAGTGAAAAATAAGTATAAAATCAGAAAGCAACAGAAGAGGGAAATGCAGAAGAGAGAATTAGAAGTAGAGAGACAAGGAGGTAAAAGGGGGAGGGAGACGATGAGAGGGAAGAAAGAAAGGAAAAGAAGTTATAAAGGACGGGAACAAAATATAGAGAAACAGGGCCTATTTAGAGATAATGGGTGAAAATTTAATGGAAAAAGGGATTCTGCAAAGGTACATAAGATAGTATGGTTATATTAGAAAGAGAAATAATTTTAGAAAATATGAAACAATGTATGATTAAAATGTTTGATAAAATAGCTATCGTAATTCAGTGGAATGCCTGTCAATAAATAAATGTAACAAAATGAATATTTATTTACAAAACATATGTGAAGAGAAATAAAGGAAAAATTAATTATGGAGATTATATGTGTCTTTAAGGCAGTATGATATTCAATTGAAAAGAAGTGTTAAAGATGTTAAGATTTTAATGATTATTAATGATAGAACTGAATTGGAATGGAATGAGGGTTTATAATTACATATATTTATCTTTTTTTTAAAGAATATAGTGTGTATTATAAGAATGTTCCAAGTCGAATTCGATTGGAAGTTATGTATTATGTATTATATTGAAGGTCATAAACTTAAGGTATATATTGAAGTTTAAATAAGAGTTGAATGGATGTAATTAAAAGATATAAAGGTGTCATACTCCAAGTAGTAACCACAGGAGAAAATTTGTTTAATGAGAAAAGATAATATGAAATTGAAACAAAACAGACAAAAGTATAAATATAATGATTTGAATTGAGATGAGATAATCAAAATAAAATTGAGAAAATTAAGAGGGGAAAAACTATATAGAAAATGTAGAATAGTATAAGATATAGAATAGAATACAAAAAGGAGCATGAAATTGAGTTTTGTGTCTGTATAAAGAAGTTCAACCCGGAACCATGCTATTTTCAAAAAAGATTTTTACTTGTATTTTGTATGTGTGAAAACCCAAATAAAACTTTATTAAAAAGAAAAAAGAAAAAAAATTGATATCTGAGTATTAGATTTTCAGTTTATAAAATTTACCAATAAGCTAATTAACTGCCTCTAAATTTATGCCAAAATAACAATATTCTAATATTAACATCAAACTGAAAATTGTTAAAAAGCCCATCCTACCTTTCTTTTATTATGATATGTGATATAAACTACAGCAACCAAAAAGGCAAAAATAACAAGGTGGAAAAAGAAATGGCTGTCATCTTCCAATCCCGAGACTCTTATGTCCTTCATGTTATGAGCAAATGACTTCTTATTCTCGAAGTTCCTCATACTTGAATCTTCTGCAAATTCTGGTACGTCTTGGTCATCTTGATTATTCTGAGAGTTAGAAGCTAGATCATAGATGACATAATCTTTAGGTTCTTTTGCTGTTGGTAAGGAACTAGTAAATATATTTCTGTCCGTCATGTCATATTCTTTACTATCTGCATCTTCTGAAACATCAATATTTTGTTGATTAATGCTAACAGTTTCTAAAGGTGACACAGGAGGTTGGACTACTTTATTTTCTGCTAGAGTGGGTGCATGTACAACAGAAGCATCGACTTTCAAAGAAGTTGAGATCATATCTTCATTTGTTTTATTCCTCAGACTGTTCTCATTGGTTGCAGACATAATTGAGGATAAATTCTCTTTTTCATCTTTATGAATTGACTTAAAGTTCTGAGGTATTTCTGTATTAGGTACAGCATCTTGAAGAGGGAAAGATAAGAGTAATTTGAAATCTTTAACAAATAATTTTACAATGTACAAGGATGCAAAAATTGATATGGTTTGAGGATTAACTGTATCTCAGCTAAGAAACATGTATCCAAAATTTATAGCAAATAAAACACGGAAGAGTAGAAACTAGTACTAGCATATCAAAATAAAAACATTGATAGGCTACAATGGAAATATGCTTAAAATAGTTACAGTATTGAAGCCTTTAGCAAGAGTTGTGCCTATTTTAAGCAGCAATAAATCATACATATATAATCAAGCAACATAGAAATTTGTGAAAACAAGATACAGCTGCACAAGACATTTTTCCATATCAACACTATGACTCATATGATATAGGTTATATCTATATTACTATTAACATTGCTTCTAGTTAAATTGATTATACCCTGATCCACACATAATTCATTGGTGGTTTGTTTTTTGCTTAGCTTGGTATATGACCCCACCTATTATGATTTGTGTCAATCAGATAATGAATTAGATTCAGAGCTGCATTTAAAATAGAACCACAGAAATCAGTGGGATCAGTTTCTGGCTTCATGATTTTCTTCAGTTCAAAGAGAAGCTAATTGATTCGTACTGAATTAAAATGAACAAATTTATTTGCATACATTTTATGGTAAATGGGAAGCAAAAGACCATCTTTTCTTCATTCCACAGTCATCTAAAAAGAAAAGCTTTGTGAAAAGGAAATTAAGAAATAAGCTCGAAAGCCAATGAACTTGCTTCCCATTTACCATGAAATGTTCAGGTTGTGAGTCTTGGTGAACCCCTAGCATTTTATTTCTCTACATACTAGAAGATTCCAGTTACGAACTGAGATAAGTATTAGAATCAGAAAAGAAGGCATTTAAATGGCACATATGGAAACAATAGAAAAACTGCACCTATAGGTTACTAACCAAAACATGCATAACACAGTATATTAAAAATGAGTGTTCTCTCACACAATGTTGGGTTACATCAATATAAATTAAATAATTTCAGGGGGATGTTTTTGTTAAATTTTGTTAAAATACAAATGCACACTACAAGAGGATTAATGAACAGGTCTGATCTGCCTTGTGTATTTTATTGTTATAAGTAACTAAGCACTAATTACACAAACACAGTAATTTCATCAGAAAATTAATTCAATTTTTCTCTCCCAGAGAGCAGAGACTGCTAAGCTTGGAGTCTTTGATATTCAGGAAAAGGACAAAGGCAGACAGACAGACACACACACACACACACACACACCAGCAATTCAGAGTCTTATCATTTTAAATGGGAACTTCCTCAACTAGGAATAGGTGTGGTTGCCTTAATCACTGTATGCCTTCATGACACAAATTGTGGAATGAAAAAGAGAAACAATGCCTCTCTTAATTTTCCTGGATCTCTACCGATTGTTAATATGCATCCATTAGACTGGATTGATTTTATGGACAGGATTATATTATCCATCCAATTTTATGTAGAGCTGAGAGATTCTTATTTTTGTGTTCTGATCTTTGTTTTGCAAGTTTCATTCTGTTCCATGCCCCATGTCAAGTATGTAGCATCTCAAATATATACAAATATTTTTAATGTACTAACATCGGAGAGAGTGTGAAAGTCTTGAACAGATGTTTGAATATGGTTTTTACATCAATGATAGAATGCAAACTGGAATTTAATTTAATAATTTTTAATAAGTTAATATTAACTTGTCTAGTGGTTAAAGCATCAGGCTAGAAGCCAGGAGACTGAGAGTTCTAGTCCTGTCTCAGGCATGAAAACCAGCTGCATGACTTTGAGCCAGTCATTCACTCTCAGACCAACTCATATCAAAGTTGATGTTTTGGGAAAAATAGGAAGAGGAAGTATAGTATTAGGTACACTCACTGCCTTGAATTATTTATAAGAATCATATAGCTGCTTTTATAAATTAGCTGTTCTATTTTCAGATTTGTAGTTTAAACATTTTTTTCTTTCTTAATGGGCACTTAAATTGTACTGGAATCTGTTCTTATCTACAATTATATTTAATAATATTATGTTTCTGTATGTTACCCTATTCTTCTTGAAAGGGAGCGAAGAATTGAATGAAGTTATCAAACAGCATTGCCAAGCTACCCTTTCTTTTTGAAATGGGTTCACTATAACCAAGCTCCCAATGGCCAGATATACGTAATATCAACCCAAGAACTGTTCATAAATTGTGTAATTTTTCTATGAATTACCCTTTACTCTATGCTTAAGTAGCAAGAATAATACATAAATACATGGAATTTGCGCGGTCTTTTCATTTCCAGAAACCCAACCATTTAACTTGCCTCAATGCTAAACAGTATTACAACTTAGGTGTATGTATGTATGTATAAACACACACACACACACACACACACACACATACCTCAAAAGGTGGGTTAGAAGGTCGGTAAAGTCATGCAATTCCCTCGATTACACAACTAGGGACATACAGCAGTTGAACCAAGAGGAAGCAGCAGAATTTGTCTTTCTCCACATACGTACGTACGTACACAAAGTGTATAGCTACGTAGTGTGTTTGAGAAAAACGGAAATGTTAAAAACTGCCCTTCTTTCAAAGCCGTTGTACACAGTTCTGTTATATTTATACAAAACTTGTTAATTCGGCGGGATCCAGGTATACGGGCAACCCAGACAGACCCGTCCGAACCAACAAAAAGCAAGAAAGCGCCACTTTCCTCCCCAGAACCCTCCTCCTATGCCCGAGGAGCTCCCGTTCTCGGCAGTGCCGAGATTCACCGGGTGAGGAGGAACAAAAGAGACGTATTGAGGCACAAGCCCCATCGTCCCCAACCAGAACGGCCACTCCGCCGGGCTGTGGACAATAGGTTCAACAGGGCAGAAAGGAACAGGTCGCCCAAAGCTTATAGAAGGCGGGGGGGGGGGAAGCAGATGGGACGGCGGCTGCGTGACTTTCCTCCAGCTAATCTTCCCAACCGACTCCGGACTCGCCGCTTTCTCCGTCGGCACTCGGCGCACGCCGTTTCCCACCTCACCGTCTAGAAGCTGGCCCCGAAGCGGCAAGGCCAGGAGCAAAAGAAAGAGCGACGTTCTCGCCAAAGACGACAACGACAGCGACAGCGTCTCGCCCATCTCGGTACACTTCACTCTCTGCTCGGGGTCCGCCATGGCTGTGGCCATACCGTCGCCGGGGGAGGTGGCTTCGTCCAGTCCCGCCCACCCGCGCTGCTAGGCAACTGCGTTCGGCAAGGAGGGGAAGCCTCTGACGAAACGAGCGTCTCCTCCCCTATCGCCCAACCTTAACTTCCTACGAAAAGTATACGTGCGATGTCGTTTGTAAAGCGGCGCCTCGTCTGAATACGGCACTTCCGGGTTTCCTGGCGGGGGGGACGACGACGACGACACACAAACCTGTTGGAAAAGGAAGCCCGGTGTATGTCACTCTACACGTTTCCATCACTTAGTCTGGTAAAAATCCTAAGGGGCCAGGCATTTTTGGCGGGTTTTAGATGGTAAAATACTGTACGAACTCTTACGTAATTTGCATTGGAAAATAAAATGTGGGCTTCTCTGAGCTTGTATTCTTGCTTCATTACCAAACTAGGTATCACCAGTGCTAGTAGGGAATGGGGTTTGCTCAGTTTTATATGCAATTGGATTGCCTTGTCAAGTGGTCTTAGTATTTTTTTGTTTTGGGGGGTTTGTTTACTGTGGCTTAACTAGTTTTCTTTAAATCTGCCATAATAGTTGTTAAGCGAGGATTAATGTAATCCTGTCTCATATTTTTCCCACAACAGCCACCCTGTGAGAGTGACTAGTCCAAAGTCACTCAGCCTGGCTAAGGCAGGACTAGAATTCACCTTTATTCTGTAGCACAATCTAATATCTATAGTGCTCAAAAAGAAAATCCATTTTCTACTAGCAAGGTGGATAGTACTTTTAACATGCAGATAGTTTTTCCTTTTGCATATATGCACAAGTTACATTCTTGCAGGAAATATCCAAAGGTATAGCTATAACTTAGCATTTAATTGATTCATGGATGTTATCCTATGTTCAGAATAACTGAAGTAATTGTCTCTATAAGCACATTTCTTAATTATATTGACAAACCCAAATGATATCTTTGACTTGACAATGACTGTTTAACTGGCCTCAAAACTTTCTTTTATTATGCTAAAAAATTTAAATTCCAACATTCAAATCCTTTACTCCATAATTCTCTACCTTGCATTATTCACAGAATGTTACAAAGGGCCAGGTAAGCCCATTTTGCTCAACTCGTTTGAGAAAAATACCTAGTGCCATACCTCACATATTAGAACTAGGGGCTCACTGTTTGGAAGGATTAGAAAGATTTATAGCAGTCTAAATTTTGTAGAAAAATCTCTAAAATATATTTAGAGATCAAGGCAAGGTCAAGAATATGATGTTACTTCATATTCACCGAGACAATTCTTGTGGATTGTGTAATGATCTGACCAAAATCACCCAAAAAACTGTTTGCACTTCATACTATATCCTCACACTGATGTATGTATGTATAATCTTATATCTTTACATATTGCTTTTTTGTACAATTTCATTGCCAAATAAGGATGTTGAAATGCACATGGAAAGGCAATGGTTTTTGAAAAGACGTTTTATCAAAATAAGCAGAACTCTTTTTTCTATCATAATGAGCAGAACTGTTTCACAGAAGTCATAATGCTAGCTATTTCACTAGTTATTAACAGAAAACTAGAGTGTTTCATATACTCCCAGATAGGAATGTTAAAACTATTTAATAAGACAGACACAGTTAGAGATGAAGATGTTTTATTTATGTTGGAAGGAAGATTTACTTTGTTTATCTTTAATTTTAAGTGGTGTCCAGTACATTAAGGTCTAATTCCACACACACACAAATGGAAGACTGAAGATGCATCCATTAAACTGCTTTTAAAAAATGATAAAACAAAAGTCCATTTTGTTTAATGCAGTGCCACTAAGGGATTACAATAACAACAGGTTGTTTCGGTTCATTGCTCCGTTGTACAAGCTTCTTAATAATCAGTGCAAGAGAAAGGATGGGAAATTTTAAATCAGATTGGCTGATTTACATCGAACTTCCTACACACCAAAATAGTACAACGTGAACATTCTAAAGCACTCTAAAGCTGTTGGGTGTAAGAGAGCTGTAGGAGGGGAAAGTGAGACTTAAATGGGTGTGATGCACCTGCCTTGACAGCCTCTTGAATAAATGTGAACGCTCCATTCGAGAATGAAAGCCTGGTGACTTAGCAGAAAATTGTGTTTTCTGCACCCTGTAATGAATCAGCATTTTCATAGCATGAATTTCAGATGTCTTCCACTATAATCATCATCAGTTTTATAAAAGGTAATTCCTTCATACAAGAGTTGATAAGCATGTAGCTCCAACTAACAATGCCCCAAATGCCCAGAACTAGAGAAAGTAATTCCATCTTTCCCTGAAAATACATGCTTTGAGGTTTAGCCTTTAACCAGATTTAATATGACTGACACACAGCAATAATTGCATCCCAGACATAAAACATTGAAAAATACACTAAATCCAGAAGGTAGCTATGCTGTATAGTGTTTCAGAATTAGCAATGGTAAAATCCCTTCTTTTATGCTTCAAATTCCAGTCCTAGACCCAGCTTGTGGCCACCTGCATTAATATTCTTCCCATCCAGTAAAGCAGACAATGTCAATTTGATACCTAGGCAGGAAATAAGAGAAAAGTTATTAGCATTGATTTGTAAGCGTTGCAAGGATTTTAAAGAACCTGGTTAGGAAAAATGTTGGAAGTTCTATAAAAAGGAACTTATGGAGACACATTTACCTTTCCTGATATGCAATGAATCCAACTCAATTGCTGCAATATTTATAAAATTAAGGATTGATCTGAATATCTATAATTCCTATCTATTTAGATTTAGTTTGCTGACTTTCACCCTTTGGCAAAGGTAGTAACAGATAATATTTCTTTAATTAAATGAAAATTCAGAGCCTGAAGTAACTAATTCGTTTTCATTACAGGTTTTATATAAATGGCACACAACAATTTAATTATTGGCAAAAAATATTTAATTTTTTTAAAAATGTCAGTTATATCAAACACATTTCATCTCTACATACCTGGCTTCAGAATCTGAGTATATCCTAAACCAATCAGACTGGAATTATTCACTTTAGCCTGCAAAACAAAGTCAATCATGTAACAGTATTATTTCAAAGTGTTTGCTGCATAGTTCATAAACAATTCATCAGGTCAGATACAAGAAAGTGAGTATGTCAAATAACTTTTCAACGTTTTACTAAATGTTCAGTGAAAGTGCACCTAAGTTCATGTGTAAACCTTATAACAACTAGAGATGTGCAGAGGTCATATTTTAGATTGAAGTCGTTCAATTTAGTCACTCTGAAAATAGTTCAGTTATGATTTGATACCTACATCTGTCTAAAATTTCATTGTATATTGCCTCTATTTTAGGATGCGGGGGGGAAACAGAAACCTCTATAACATTTTTTGTTTTAATAAGAGTGGGATGAAATTTGTAGTTAAGTTATTCAATTTCATAGAAATGAATAACAGTGCGCAGGGAGTTTGGTTATCATATTTATTACCACTACAAAACTGATTTTTTTTCTTTGCATTCAAAGTCATTTAATTCAAAAGAGCACATAAGTATAGATTTAAAGCAGAGTTTGAACAATTTAGTAGTGAAAATTGTATCTATGTGTATGAGAGCGCACATGTAAACTTTAAACACAGCCTTTCTTTCAGAGCAGATGTACATAGCTCCCTACAGCCCTTTATAATATTTGTACCTTTTAACTTGAAGGGAGGAAGGAAAGCTCAGGGTCTAAATCTGAGGCCTTTTTCCTCTCTCCTTTTTCACAGCAAGACCTTCAGGCACTCTTCTCAGCCAATAATGGAGACATATACTACATATTTGCAGAAAGGTTCCATCTGCTGTAAGCTATTGACTCTTATCTCTCCAGCATCCACCCTCAAAAAATTGGTGTCAATATTTGTGATAAAGTTTTGACAAATTGATTTGAATGCTAAACAAAAAAAATTATCTAAGTGGAATATTCCCTTGTCTTTCAAATGACACAAATTAAGTTACTTTATTTACTAGAAGAAAGGTTTCTTTTTCTGTTCACTAAATCTGACTTAATTTTCTTTAAGTTAATACTTTCCTATCTATTGTAATCTTGGGATTTAGAAAAAGACTAATAAAAATTTGCATGTGGCTTATTGTTAACTCAGAACAAAAATATGGTAGTTCCATACACACCTCCACCCGATTATTATCAGGGTGCATGTGATAATCCAGAAGTGCCAGTTACTCACAATACACAACCAGGCAATGTTAAAATACTGATATGGAAAATTCAGTGAGAGATAAGTTGCATACACCAAACTTATCTAAAGGAACTAGAAGAAAGTAAAACGATTTTAAGACCATGCCACTGAGTGGAAAGCAGCATTTTAAGAACCTGTATTTATGACAAAGCATATGGTACAAGTTTCTCTTTTCTCCCAATGCTTCTTTATTTGCTTGTACCTCATTTGATAAAGAAACAATTCTGTGAAACAAGAAAAAGGAGCATTGACTAAATATTTTAGTAAAATCATCTGATCAAACAATAACTGCCTTTGAAATTGAAGGCTCTCTAGTCCAGGGGTTTGCAACCTGCGGCTCTGGAGCCATATGTGGCCCTCTGCTGTGGCTCCCTGTTGGCTGATCCCATCACTGGCTGGCCCCTCCCCTCCCTGTCACTCCTTGCCTGGCCTGAGAAGGTAGGGGTGATGGTGGGGGATGGAGACTCACTCCATATTCCAGAGCAGGAGGTGACTGGGTGGAAGTGAGTGATGTCGAGTTGGCCATGCCTACCCAGTCACACCAGTTGTTAAATTTGCCTCCCGGTAGGAAACGGATCCAAATGGCTCTTTGAGTGTTTATGGTTGCAGACCCCTGCTCTAGTCCATTATTGTCATGGAATCAAATTTTACTTACAGAAAAAGATGCATCTGAATCAATCTGATATTTGGCTGCTATTCCAAAGCGGGTGTTGCTGTTTCCTGCTGTCCAAGCAAGATTAACAGCAGTTTCTAATTTATCATTCACCTTTTGATAAATGGAGCCTCCAAATTCCGTACCATCATTTCTATAATACATTCAAATGTTACATGTCGTGAGAATCTTATTCATGAA